CATTAAATTATTAGAGTGCTGTAAAGAGAATATGTTTTGATTTTAGTGAGTCATACAGCAAAGTTTTTTTTTTTTTTTTTCCCTCAAAATCCTTTTCCAAAATCCTGTAAACGGCAAAGGATGGCCCTGGATGACAATATAGTGAAGGAGGATTTTAGCTAGTTTAACTCTTTACTCAAAAAAGTGCTCATTAATATTTTCAAGGAGTTACGTCAAAATGTTCTGTACTTGCTTGTATCCTGTTTACTAATTTTGAATGACTTGGTCATAAAATTCCTAAAACATACTGAACAAACTTACAGGGAGAAAAAAATTGCAAAGATATGGCTCATCTATATAAGGACTCCAAACCATCTTAACAGTGTCAATAATGGGTTAAAATTAACCAAATGAAACTAAACAAGCAACATAAATTTTGTACATTTAGATTCAAAATGTCAATTCTACAAATACAAAATGAGAGAGAACGGCTTTAAAACAGCTTCTATTAAAATGACCTAGGGGGTCATAGTTGACAAAAAGTTTGTCTTGGATCAAGCATATGAACTGGCTAAAAAAATAAAGGCCAATTCCTCTCCAGACAACATTAATTGAAGAGAAAGTCCTATGTGATGGAGGTAAACAGTCATACTGCACAGTGCAATTGACGAGAACTCCAAGTAAGGTTCAGTTCTGGCTCCATTCTTTTGTTTTTTTAATCATATTGGAGTATGGTTGATTTACAATGTTGTGTTAGTTTTAGGTGTACAGCTACGTGACTCAGTTATACACATATCCGTTCTTTTCCATATTCATTTCCCATATAGGTTATTACAGAATACTGAGTAGAGTTCCCTGTGCTATACAGTAGGTCCTTGTTGATTACCTATTTTATATATAGTAACGTGCATACGTTAATCCCAAACTCCTAATTTATCACTCCCCCCATCTTTCCCCTTTCGTAACCATGTTTGTTTTTAAAGTCTGTGAGTCTGTTTTGTAAATGAGTTCATCTGTATCATTTTTTTTTAGATTCCACCTGTAAGTGATATCATATATTTGTCTTTCTCTGTCTGACTTACTTCTCTTCGTATGACAATCTCTCGGTCCATCCATGTTGCTGCAAATGGCATTGTTTCATTCTTCTTTATGGCTGAGTAATACTCCATTGTATATAGGTACCACATCTTTATCCATTCCTCTGTTGATGGACATTTAGGTTGCTTCCATGTCTTGGCTATTGTAAATAGTGCTGCAGTGAACGCTGGGGTGCATGTATCTTTTCGCGTTATGGTTTTCTCCAGATATATGCCCAGGAGTGGGATTGCTAGAACCTCCATGCTGTTCTCCATAGTGGCTGTATTAATCACATTCCCACCAACAGTGCAAGAGGGTTCCCTTTTCTCCACACCCTCTCCAGCATTTGTTGTTTGTAGACTTTTTAATGATGGCCATTCTGACTGGTGTAAGGTGATACCTCATTGTAGTTTTGATTTGCATTTCTCTAATAATTAGTGATGTTGAGCATCTTTTCACGTACTTTTTGGCCACCTGTAAATCTTCTTTGGAGAAATGTCTATTTAGATCCTCTGCCCTTTTTTTTTTTTAACATCTTTATTGGAGTATAATTGCTTTACAATAGTGTGTTAGTTTCTGCTTTATAACAAAGTGAATCCGCTATACATATACATATATCCGCATATCTCTTCCCTCTTGCATCTCCCGCCCTCCCACCCCTCTAGCTGGTCACAAAGCACTGAGATGATCTCACTGTGTTATGTGGCTGCTTCCCACTAGCTATCTATTTTACATTTGGTAGTGTATATATGTCCATGCCACTCTCTCACTTTGTCCCAGCTTACCCTTCCCCCTCCCCGTGTCCTCAAGTCCATTCTCTAGTAGGTCTGCATCTTTATTTCCGTCCTGCCCCTAAGTTCATGACATTTTTTTTTTTTAGATTCCATATATATGTGTTAGCATACGGTATTTGTTTTTCTCTTTCTGACTTACTTCACTCTGTATGACAGACTCTAGGTTTATCCATCTCACTACAAATAACTCAGTTTCGTTTCTTTTTATGGCTGAGTAATATTCCATCGTATATATGTGCCACATCTTCTTTATCCATTCATCTGTCGATGGACACTTAGGTTGCTTCCATGTCCTGGCTATTGTAAATAGAGCTGCAGTGAACATTGTGGTACCTGACTCTTTTTGAATTATGGTTTTCTCAGGACATATGCCCAGTAGTGGAATTGCTGGGTCATATGGTAGCTCTATTTTTAGTTTTTTAAGGAACCTCCGTACTGTTCTCCATAGTGGCTGTATCAATTTACATTCCCACTGCCCATTTTCTGATTGGGTTGTTTGTTTTTTTGATATAGAGCTGCATGAGCTGTTTGTATGTTTTAGAGATTAGCCCCTTGTCAGTTGCTTTGTTTGCAAATATTTTCTCCCATTCTGTGTGTTGCCTTTTCATTTTGTTTATGGTTTCCTTTGCTGTGCAAAAGCTTTTGAGTTTAATTAGGTTCCGTTTTATTTTTATTTTCATCACTCTAGGAGGTGGATTCAAAAAGATATTGCTTTTTATGCCAGTGTTCTGCCTGTTTTCCTCTAAGAGTTTTACAGTATTCGGCCTTACATTTAGGTCTTAAATCTATTTTGAGTTTATTTTTTAAAATTTATCTATTTGGCTGCATTGGGTCTTTGCTGCGGCATGCAGGATCTTTTTTGCACAGCACGAGCTTCTCTCTAGTTGTGGCACGTGGGCTCCAGAGCACAGGGGCTCAGTACTTGTGGCACTCGGGCCCTCTAGTTGTGGTGCACAGGCTCTAGAGCACGTGGGCTTAGTTGCCCCATGACATGTGGGATCTTAGTTCCCTGACCAGGAATCAAACCCACGTCCCCTGCACTGGAAGTTAGATTCTTAACCACTGGACCACCAGGGAAGTCCCCATTTTGAGTTTATTTTTGTGTATGGTGTTAGGGAGTGTTCAAATTTCATTCTTTTACATGTAGCTGTCCAGTTTTCCCAGAACCACTTATTGAAGAGGCTGTCTTTTCTCCACTGTATATTCTTGCCTTCTTTGTCGTAGGTTAATTGACTATAGGTGCATGAGTTTATCTCTGAGTTTTCGATCCTGTCCCATTGGCACCACTCTTAAAAGGAACATCCACAAACTCATATTCATTTGAAGAGAGGAATTTAAGGTGGTAAAGAGTGAGACTGGGCCACTTGAGGCCAGGGCTCTGAGGAACGACACACAGTGCTCAGGTTTTGTGATATTAGGTTTATTCTTTGTAGCACGTGGAAAGCAAAACTCATATCAGTTAAACAATATTGACTTCCTCCTAGTAGAAGAGAGAACTTCATAATTAAAGCTCTCAAACATTCTGTAGGCTCTTGTGTAAAGGAGCTAGTCGCCCCCTCCTTTGCAGCCCCCCCTAGAAAATCAAGACTGAGTGATCCTCCATCAGTGGTGGTACAGAGATCATTCCTGCATTTGCCAGGTGGTTGGACTTGTCAGCCTAGGAGTCTACGCTTCCAAGAAGTTTTCACCATTTTCTGTTTGCTTGGTCTATCATTCATTCTCAATGAACTTATTTTGTTTTCAGTATACTATTAGATTGCCTAACGCTTTAAATCTAATTGTTGCATATAAGCACAGATCTTAAAGCCCTTCACCCTTAAATTCTTGGCTTTAGATATCTACTGTTTTGCTATCCATACCAGGCGTTACTTATCAGAGTGGCAGGAACCTAAATCAGTTAAGATCTGGAGGAGAAAATATCCAGCCTCCTTGTAGGGCTTTGAAAGCAGCAGTATGCCGTGGTGACTGACGGTAAGAGAGGAAGAACAGCACGGAACTGAACACTTGTTGTTTTTACCCCTTACAGAGAAGAATCTTTTTCCCCTTACGTCTGTTTTTAGGCTGCTCATTTCATGGGCGTCATGAGACAAAATGTGAAAACAAAAGAGAGACGTATATTTTAAAAGACCTAGCTACATCACAATATAAGACACTATTTCAGCGTATATGTTGCAATCCCTAAATTAAGGCTACTAGGATCCGTGTGTGGCTGTAGAATTCTAGTGCAAAGCTACTAAATACTGTTGGCCTTTAAAACCCTACACAGATACCCGGACATGCGTTTGTGTAGCTGAGACACTTCCTCTCCATTTCTAAATACTTTTCCTTTTCAGTTCTCATGAGCCGTCATGACGCTAGAACTAGTACGATGGATTTAAGTTAATAATTGCTTGTAATACATGTTTTAAAAAAAAAAGTGTGTATTTTCCAATGATCGTAGCATTGGAGGTCCAGGATGGTACCCGATGTACACTCGTCAAATGCACGGTGAGGTGGTCCGAGAGGAAGACCAGACCAGCCATGGCCCCTCATTCCCTCCCCCGCCCCCCCACTCCAGAAAAAAAGACCACTGGAAATATCAGTCATGGTTCACAATTCTAGGGGCTTAACCTAAATAGCCTGGGGCTTCTCTCGGTAATCCTATCCCTGCAGGACCCTAATTCCAGAGAAGGGCCGGGGCGCAGGTGTGCTCAGGCTCAGTTCTGGGTTTGCGGCTAGAACATGGTTTCATGGCAGGAGCAAAGACGCAGTCCAAGAGGCCCAATTCCTCCCCCAGCAGGAGACGGGAGGATGGCAGCCTCCACGGGATCCTGCCCCATGGGGGGGACCTCACGTGGGCCGCCCGGGACACAGCTGGTCAGCCGAGTGGAAAGCAGTGACGGGCACGGCGCTCTTCACTGGCGTGAGCGGGGAGATGCATCATTACAGAGAGAAACCCAAGGGTAGACGAGTTTACTGCTTACAGTGGACACTGTGGCTCATCTGCGTAGCGAGGCAAGAAAACAAACGGATACAAACTGCGGAGGTGACACAGGCCACCCTCTTTCTTCAGGGCCACCATCCAGAGGTGTGGGGAAAAGGGCAGGACCAGGCCTCTTCCTTCCCAAATCAGTGTCCGGAAAGATGAGTCCACAAAGGGGGAAATGCCCTACTTCCACCCCCATCCATAGACTCCAGTCTTTCCTAACACTTCACCCGCCGTCTACTCTGGGGCGTCCCAACCCTCCCCAGCAGGGGGGCCTCTTCACTCCTCGGCCCCAGCACTAGGGGCCATGGCCGGTCTGGTCTTCCTCTCGGCCCTCCTCGGGGGCTGAGGGCAGCTCCACAGTGGCGGTGGGCAGCTCCTCTTGGGCCTTGCTGAGTAGGGGCTCCGCGCCAGGCCTGGTCCCTTCAGGAAGCCGGGTGAGGCCTGGAGAAGACTGCCTGCTCGAAGCCTGAGCACAAGGGGCTGCAAACAGATCCAGGAAGTAGCCGTCCCCTCCCGGGGGGCCCCCCAGAGCTGGTGGACAGAAGGAACTGGGGAAGGGCAGGTCTGGCAAGCAGGGGTCATTCCAGGGGACTGTACCTGTGGGATCAAAGAGCAAAACAAAGAGTAAGTAGGATGATGGGTACCAACCACGTTCAACGTGTTCTGTGACAGAGTCCCCTCCCTGCTCCACAGAAACACGGGTTAGGACCCTGGAGCGAGTCTCCCCTCAGCAGCAGGCAGGCTCCTGTCTCGAGGTCCTACGTCTGGGTAACAGTGACACAAAGTGGACCGTGGGTCAGGCCGAGTGAGTGCCCTCTCGCGCAGGCAGGAGACTGGGAACCAGCATCTTTCTTCCCCTTCTGCTGGAACTGAGTCCTCCTAAGATGGTCACTTCCAGGATCGCAGGGTCCAGGTGGCCCATCGGATACCCACATCAGCTCCCACCTATCCCGTGCCAAGTGTTCCACACCTGTGGTTCCTAATCTTCAGCAAGCCCTCTAAGATACGGGAATATTATCCCCGTTTCAGAATCCAGGGACCTCAGGAAATCCCAGAGCTGAGCTGGACTTTAAACTTTGCGTTTCCTCACTCCAAAGCTCTCTTGCTGAGTCTTACTCTGCTCTGAAACCTCCGAGAAACTGGAGGAAGGAGAGCTCCATAAGGACAAGCGGGCTTTCTTTAAGTAACAGTGATTCACTCACCCCACGCCTTCCCTCCAGCTCACGAGGCCCTCTCCCTTCTCACCGTCCTCAGTCACCAGAGGCCCCTTTCTGTTCCAGCCCCGACTCACCCATGTTCCCAGCGGGTGGCTGCAGCAGGATCTGCCCTGATGGAGGGCCCGGGAAGTAGCCCTGGGATGTGCCCCCGCTGGGGCCATAGGACAATGCAGACAGAGAGTCTTCCAGCAGTGGAGGGGTCAGGGAGCTGGGCATGTGGAAGGGGAAGGGGTGCAGGTATGGAAACTGGGGCTGGGGGTGTTGGAAAAGCTGGCTCTGTGGAGTCTGGGAGAACTGGAACGGTCCTGGCTGGCTGCTGGGTTGATATTCCTGGGGTTCCAGCTCCTCCAAGTACGAGCAGGCGGGGGGTGGCGTGACGCTGAGAGAGACAGAGGAGTATTTTTTTTTTTTTTTTTGCGGTACGCGGGCCTCTCACTGCCGTGGCCTCTCCCGTTGCGGAGCACAGGCTCCGGACGCGCAGGCTCAGTGGCCATGGCTCACGGGCCCAGCCGCTCCGCGACATGTTGGATCTTCCCGGACCGGGGCACGAACCCGTGTCCCCTGCATCAGCAGGCGGACTCCCAACCACTGCGCCACCAGGGAAGCCCCCAGAGGAGTATTTTGTGCGGCTCGGGGGGCGGCCCCATTCCTACTGCGCAGCGAGGCTCCCCTCCCCCATCCCCACGACCCCAGACCTGCCACCTCCTGTTCTCTCTCCTGCTCTAGCTTCTCATCCTCGTTCCTGTGCTACTGCTGTGATGTCCTAGATCCTTCGCACCCCAATCCACTTACCCTTTTAATCCTCACCACATTTACTACTCCTTGCTTCTCTCAGTCACCCTCCCCCCTCCCAAGCTCCATCTATCTTTCCTCCTCCCGTACCTCCCCCAGGATAAGTCAAGTACCACCGCCATTAGGTTGCGTACCTTGTCCCCCACGACCCACAAGGGCCATCCTTGCGGCTGCTCTCGTTGCCTGGGGTATCCAGCAGCAAAGACATCAGCTGGGAGGTGTGCACGGGGCCGAGGGGGAAAGGAAGGTTGGCTCTTCGGACAGGTGGGGGGCTGAAGAGTGGTGGGGTCACTTCCACCCTCTGGGCACCCTCACTCTGTTGGGTCGGGGCCAGAGTCTGGTCAGATGTCAGCAGCATGGGGGGCTCTAGGAACAGAGGTCAAAGGGGGGTTGTAAGAGTAAGAAAGTGGGGGGCAACCTTGGCAGCGCTGGTCCAAGTGCACAAAGCCCGGGTCCCCCTGAACGAAACCGTGGGGAGTTCCGGCCACTCCCAGGTCTTTCAGGAAACAGCCCTTTGACTCTGCTGTCTTCCGCGCCGCTGTATTTCCCAGACAACCCTTGGAAGGTGGTCAGCTCACCTGGAAGGGGATCCAGTGGGGACTCCTGAGCGAAGGTCCCAGGCTCCCGGTCCGCGGGCACAGCAGGTGGCGGTCCGGCTGCAGAACTAGAGGGAGACGAGCGAAGACTGTAGCTCGGGCAGTCCCTGGATTCAGACTGGGGCTTCAGTGTAGGGAAAGGGACCCAGATTTCCAAACTGTGCCTCCTACAAGGCACTGGGCAACTTCCCAACCTCATGCAGTCAAAATCCCTCTATTAGCCAACAACTCCCTACGCCCAGCCTTCCAGTCCCTTCTCCCCCTAGAGCCCAGAATCCCAGCTTAGCCCCCAATTCCTGCCCACGGGGATGGGCCCGGAAGAGAAGAAAGGCTTACCTGCACTGGTTGCTGGCGGGGCTGAGGGCAGGGCCAGCAGCAGCGTCCGTGCTCTCCTTCCCGGTCATTTTCTCCACTTTTCGCCACTTTGCCCGGCGATTCTGGAACCACACCTGTAGGGGAGAGACACCCGAGGGGCTTGAGAAACAGGGTAGAGCCTGAGGCTCAGTCCTGCTGTCCCATGATGTCTCCGTGACTGTAGGAGGTCACTGCAGCGCTCAGGCTGGCAGGGAGAGGTTCATCGAGATGGCCTCTGAGGCACTTTGCTCTTCCCATATTCTAAGGCTGTGGCAGCGTGGAAACAGGCAAGAACACAGCCCCATCTGAGGCCTCACCCCAGCCCCTGTCCGGGAGCTGAGTACTTGTCTGGCTCTTCCAGAGTGCCGGCGCGTGGGTTCTCCTCCACCCCGAGCCTGAGGGCAAGTACCCTTACCATGATGCGCTGGGGGGTGACTCCCACCGTCTGGGCAATCTCCCGGCGCTTATCGCTGTCTGGATAGTGGTCTTCTTGGAAGAGCTTTTCTAGCTCCTCCAGCTGGTCTGGAAGAAGAAAACACTGGCTTGAGGATGAACACCAGTGATGCGGAAGCAGAGGAGAAAAACAGATACCCTCCAGAGGGGACCGCTGTCCCCAACCCGAGGGCCTCCCCAGAGCCCTGCGACTAAGCTCCCCATTGGGCTGGGGCCTCCTGTCTCTCAGGCTTTGTGGCAGGGAACTGTGTGGTGTTCACTTTCCTGCCCTTTCTACCCTGGGCCCAATTTCATGTTCTGATGAGAAAACCCAACCTTTCCCTCTGAGGTCAGAGGTCATGGCCTGCACAGGTCAAGAGAGGACCCGGCCAAGGTGATGTACAAACCAACCACACTCCTCTCTCCTGGGGCTGCTGCATGCTCTGTTGAGCCCAGCTTTCCCAGAGATGAGGCCAGGTCCCCTAGGTTTCCGCTCGCCTTCAGGGACTTACCCGAGCGGTATAGAGTCCGCGTCTTTTTCCGGCCTTGGCAGGTCACATCCGGGGACTTCTTCTGGTCTGTGTTTTGGCTGTTCTGGGCCAACGTGCTGAGGAGGTTGGCCAGATGGCAGGAGCCCCGGCCTGACCCACAAGGCACTGGGTTGTACGTGGCCCGGGCTGGGTTAGCGACACTGGGAGATGCCGTGGAGTCCAGACCCACGGCGTTAGGCTTTTTCTGCTTACCGGTGGCTGGAGAGTAGGGCCTCTTCCCCAGCTTCCCCTCTCTCACCGGGAGAGGATGTCCTTCCCCCTGAGGCTGGGGTCTAGGCGGGCCCAGGGCTCTGTCTTTGCGGAGAGCCCCTGAGCCCTGGCGCTGGCAGGCTCTCCCAGCACCGGCCCCAGCTACTTCTCCAGGGGCCTCTGATGGCTGCTTCTCCCCGGGAGCAGCGCAGGAGAGGGGCACGTCCTCACTTGGGGCTTCCCGAGTGTGGGGGGCTGAACTCTGCAGGGGTTCCTCCTCCTCTAGCCTGGCAGCCGGGGGCTTGTCTCCGCCCTCCTGACCTGTGGAGAGCCAGCACCCGCTGACCTTAGCTCAGGAGAACGAACAGCCTGGACCAGGAGGGCGTGCTGCTTCCTGGTCTGCGACGGGTGTTCTGTTTGATCTGAAGCTTTAATTTGTCCGCTTATCAAATGGGGTAATCATTCCAGGCGTACCTTCCTAACTCTGCTACTGTGAGGGTCAAATTAGATGATCCCACAGCTTGGAAATGCAAAAGCAAATGGATGCAGCCACGAGGAGCCTGAGCTCGCGCACCTAGACGGCGTGCAGTCCTAATTTGGGGGGAACTTACTCTCTGTGAGTTCCCTGTTTTCTCCCCGAGACCTGGAATGTGAGTTTGAGGGACAGGCATCTATTCAGGGGTTTCTAGGGGACACATGTTGGCGTGGACTCTGGGAAGAGGGAGAGGAATTGATGGAGACTGCTGTTTCTCAGACTGGATCTCGTTCCTGCGGCAGACACAGGCATCAGTGCTCAGAGCAGGGACGCGGCGGGACGGAGTGGTCTCCAGGAGCCCAGGCGAGGACATCAAAGGAGCTAACAGGAATGTCCACCCTGACCTCCCACAGAACTCACTGTGTCCTCGGCCACCCTCCTCTCCCTCATGCACACCCCCGTCCCCTCCCTGCAAAGCAGAACCTCACTCAGGGGCCTCGGGCCCAGGTGAGCGCCCTCCTTTTACAGGTAAGGAAGAGTGACCTGGCTGGCACTCATCCTCCAAGCTTGTCTGTCCTTCTCTGAGCTATGACTGATTCATCAGTTTACCATGTCCCAGGCATTGCGCTAGGCACCTTTCAAAGATTAGTCCAGCATGCATTTAATCCTTGTGAGGAAGGCATATGTATAGCTCATTCTAATATGGAGAAACGTGGATGACAAAGTTGAGCGGTTTGCCCAAGCTCACACAGCGCCGTGCTCTTGACCACTAGACAGAGTCCTTCCTGGGGTCACCAACCCCGCCCCCATTCCCCTCCCAACTTACTCATAACCTCCAGATCCCAAACCGTCTCAGCTCAAGGAGCTGCTTTATCATTTCTAACTAAATTGGAACATTTTTAAGAGGATGCTCACTACTAAGAGCGAGTTTTGTTTTTTTTAATGAAAGTTGCATGAGATAGGCTGTCTTAAGGAATGACTTTCTAACGATGTGTAAGAAAGCTGTAGGTCATGGGCTAAGGCGCTTTGTCAGATTGTTTCCTAGGGTACAAGCTGGTGAAGGGGGTTTGCAGGTCTTTATGGCGCTGAGGCTGGATGGTGAAATGGGGAAGGAGGGACACACCGGTTTTACAGCATTTTAGGGGCGCTCGTAGCCTAGCAAACCCGGTACACAGTAGGTGCTCAATAAATGCGACGTATCCGGGTGATAGGCCCCGGTAAGAAAGGTGATGGGTGTGGGAACCTAGAGCAGAAGAATCACGGCCCTGCTTTTCTTCCCTTCATCCTCGGAGATCCGAACGCCAAGGATGGGGGGCGCGGCGTGGTGGGCTCCCTGGCCCCCCCGCCCCGTCCATCCCCTCTCAACTCCCCTCCAACCCCCTACCCTCGGCCTGCCGCTGGGCCCCAGCCCCTCAGGCCCCCCGCGCACTCACCCCGCGGCTCCGGGCCGCGCTCCGAGCTGAGCTCCATTGCCTGGACTCCAGCACGCGGCCGTCGGACTGCTTTTGCGCGCCGCCTAATGAAGCCTCGCGCTCGGGCAGGTGTGCGAAGCTGTGAGCGTGGGGTGCCCGCGCCCTCACCCCGCCGCCGGCGAGGCCCACTCGGGAGGGCGGTGCCTGGGGCAGCTGCGGGCTGCCGAGGCCCGGGGGCCACGCCGCTTCCCGCCCCCGCCGAGGCCCAAGCCGGGGCAGGTGCGGCTCCGCTGCGGCCCCTCCCCGGTGGGTGGGGGTTGCACGCGGGGCGTGGGCGAGAGCCCGCCTACTGGGTCGCGGTCGGGAAGCTCGCCCTAGAGGGCCAGGGCGTTCGGCTGGGGGAGGGTGGCCGGCTCCCTGGGCCGGACTTGGTGGCGCCGTTGGCCTTGGAGACAGAGTCCTTCCCGTGGAAGGCGACTTGGGGAGCCACTTATCAAGGGAGCTCCAAACCCTTAACAAGGGTTCCCTGTCTCCCAGCTGCATCATTGAGGTTTCCCCAGGCCTCAGGATTAATGAGCCCCCAAGACGCCATGCTGATTGGAAGGTCCGTAGAGCACGGAGCTGTCCTGAGGATGAAAGCGAGCTGGAAGAACCCAGGCTGCAGGGTGAAGTGGACACCTCTTGAATGGGACGCAATTGTACGCGCACGGGAGGCCGCAGGTAAGCCGGGAGAAAGCACTAGCTCGTCAAAGTTTTGTCTCATGTTTCCACCCACTTGATATCAGTTTTTCTGGCCGAGAATGAAGGAGTGTCGCGTAAGGGAGATCTCACAGGTGTGATCTTTACGACTCCCAGTTCCTGGAATGTTTCTTGTCTGCTTTATAACATAATTTCAGGATTTAAAATCCTCATGGCCTCTTCCTTCCATCTGCCCTTGAGTGGGAGGCGCTGGCCAGATGGAAACAGGTGCTTGGTGCTGTTTGGGGGTGGGGGTGGGGGTTGGTCAGAATAGAAATCAGGTGTTTTGCTTTTAGAATTTAAAAGACTCTGGACGCCACGTGCTTTCCCGCTGTAATCACCTATTGGTAAGTTTCCCTGTGCCTTAAATGCCTTTCAGGGGCTTGGCCTACACACATGAACTTTGAAGATATTACCAGTTCTTTCTGAAATATAAAAATTATAAACGAGTTAACTCCGTGACAACATGACCAAAATTCCAGGCACCTGGTGTTTCATTCTGACTCCTATAAGACTAATATCCTCTAATAAATGAGGGGTTTAAAAATAGGGCCCAGTTTCAGCTAGAAAGGAAGCATTCTAGGCCATGTGAGCAAGGAATGGGGGGCAGTGAAGTCGCTTTCTTTGTGGAACATCATCATTTGGTGGTGACGTGGCGGTAAATGGAATGCAATCGTCTGCTTGCTTAAACATTTACAGGACACCTACCGTGTGCTGGGCACTGTGCGCAGGTCACTTCCTGCCTGCACAAGCTTACTGGCAGAGAGGGGGTTAGAACAGTGACGCAAGTAAATGGACAGTGTCCATACGAGGAGGTCGGTGGTGAGTTAGAAGGATGCATAGAGGAGCAGGAAGCTCTGCTGGACTCGGATTGGGGGTGGGGCAGGAAAGGCTTTCTTGGAGAGGGTGACACATGAGCTTTGAGCTGAAGTTTAAGGGAGAGGCATTCTTACCATGTCACAGCCCTGCTTAAACCCTGAAGTGGCCCTTGCCTGCCTGTGTGATAAAAACCAACCTCCCTAACCAGGAGAGGAGGCTTCTGAGGTCTGGTTCTTTCCTCTGAAGCCTCAGCTCTCCTGCTTCCCACACCCAAGTATTCCAGTTTTAATGTCTCTTTTGACCTAGTGTTTTTCAAGGAGTGTTGACACCCTGGATTAGAATTTCTTAGGGAATTTGTTTAAAATGTGGCTTGCTGGGCTTCCCTGGTGGCGCAGTGGTTGGGAGTCCGCCTGCCGATGCAGGGGACACGGGTTCGTGCAGAAACAAAGTCAACTAAAACCAACACGGGTTCGTGCAGAAACAAAGTCAACTAAAACCATCCCCGGGGATGGAGATAGGGCAAGTGGATGGTGGGGGACTTTGTCGGGGAAGGAGATGACCTGTTGTCCTTTACTGAGGTGTCTGCTGCAGTGAAAGTGGGTCACAATTAATTTCTTAATAGGTTATCCTATCATTAAATTAAGAATAAATCATCCTTCCCTGCCATCACTTATGTTGAATTTCCTCTCGCCGTCTCTTTGCCCTCTGCCTGGGTGAAGGTCAGAAAAGCAAAGACTCAAATCACCCATAGACTGGACGCCACCCTTACATAAAACTCGGAAAGATACAGAGTCTGACTGTATAAAAGGGTTTGCTCTGAGACTTAAGGAATTGAAGATGTTGGCATTTTCTAAACACATAAATAATTGAATTTGTTGGGCCTGGGCTCTGACATGAGAGAAATCGAAGCTTTCCTCCTCTTTGTTTCTCTCTTTCTTTCCTCCCTTCCTCAGTCTTGATATTCTTGCCTTGTCGTTTTGTGTGTGTGTGTTTTTTTTTTTTTACAAATGATATCGTTTTCTTTATTTACATGAAAATTAGATTTAGCGGCTGCAAGTGAATTTGGTCTAAGAAGGCTTGGGATAGCGTCTTGACGTGTTTGGTTGAAAAGGGATTGTACTTATGATATATGCTGTGGAGAGTGCTATCTTTCAGATAGGGAAGGGGGACTGCTCTTTATTGGGAGGACAAAAAGATACTGTTTTAGGGGTACTTGGAAATATTTATTTCTACGACTTGGTCCATGGCATCTTCGTGATCTTAAGGCATGTTCATAGACCAACCTTGTTTAGAGGGAAGGATTATTTTGGGGGGGGCAGTGCGTGGAGGGGAGGAGGTTGTCCTTAGTTTTCAGAGCCAAACTATAAACCACCACTTCCACCCTCTTAGCAAGCGCCAGTTATTCCAACATCTTTTTCTTCTCATGGATAGAATGACAACAAAGAGGAACAGGTCTGATGCTACTAAAGGGTATAATTAATCTTTTGTTTTTCCCATTCTGTGTAGAGTTAACCAACCGTACAATGAGTTTAAGCAAGTGAAATAGATTCTTTGTCCTTCCTCCCTCCCTCTCTATAATGAGAAAAATAACCAGTAGAAGGTGGTTGACTGAGAAAATTTTTCAAAGAGGAGACACATTCTTGTCCTGCATGCCACTCCTGGGAGTAGGCAGCAACAGGTCATTGGAAATCCTGGGACCAGAGGCAAGAATACGGTTGTGAAAAGGCAGAAATCTGAACGGGCCCTGGGTCGGGAGATCACAGTCCCAGCAAACACGGGAGGTAAAGGCCCCAGGAAACAACCAGGAGGCGAAGCTCCATCCAAGGCAGGGGAGGGCAAAGGGAAACCGGAGCTCATCACAGGTTCGGGGACCAGGACGTCCTGAGCCCGAAGGAGGTCCTTGGCCGGATGATCAGATAAACGCCGTGGGCTCACCATGACAGAGCTGAGGGTGCCAGTGACGGGGGAGACACTGGGAGTTGCCGAAGTCTCTGCACAGCTGCTTCCTTTGGAAACCCCGGGAAAGGCTGGTTGGAGGTGACGGGCATTGAGAACACCTGGCTGGAGCAGAAACTGCCCTGGCGGGGAGAAAACAGGTTCTGGCATGAGTGAGCCTGAGCACTTGTAATCCCTGTGCCCCAGACTCCCAAGTTTTTATGCATCTAACAAGAATAGTGACTGTGTCTAAGCAACGTGGCTGCTGCTAGTTTCTAATCAGGCCGTCCTCCTAATAAATCACTATTGCTTGTGTGTTTTGTAATTTACAAAGTACTTTCCCTTGCATTCTAATCCCCTCTTGATGTACCCATGTTCTGGAGACAGACTGTCTGCTTTCTGCTCTGTTCTGGCCTTCTCCAGGATTGCAAAGCTGTAATGCTAACTATAGACTGGCATTCAAGACCCGCTCCAAACCCAGCCCCGGCCTTCCCTCATTCTGCATCTGTGGCTGCTGTCCTTCCCTTCTCCTCTCACCCCACTCACAGACCCTCGTCTAGTCTCCTCATGGTGTCCTCTCGTTCCAATCTTGGGGGCCTCTCTCAGAATGGCCCCCGCCTTCTCATGCCTCGGGACCACAGAGCACATCGTTTTATAGGCCTGGAACATCGTCCCTTCCCTTTTATTTCTGTTAAAGTCTTACTCATACTTGAAAGCCCAACCCAAATAATCTCTTTCCCGTGAAGCCTATCTTAGCTTTCCACCGCCAGGAGGAACTGCTCCTTCCTGTATCCTCCCACTGTGCCGTGCTTACCTTGATATTACATCACCTAACACAGGCTGACCTGATGAGAGCTCTGTATGTTCTCCACCGGATGGTGAGCTCTTACATGTGTTAACATACATCTGTTCACGCCAGGCGCTTTCTACTTGCTCTACAGATATCAAGTCATTGAATGCTCACGACAGCCCTCTAAGGTTCTATGGTTAGCCCCATTTTATCGAAGAAGGAGCTGTGACACAGGGAGCTTAAGTGCTTTGCCACAGATCACACAGCTGCTAGGTGACACACCCAAGATCTGAACCCGGTTGGTCTGGTTCCCGGCCATACTCCTAACCACTAGGCTTTCCTGTTTATGTCATTTATATTTGCATCAAGATCCTCCAGGGAACTGAATGTCAATATTATGACATAGTGTGAGTGTGTTTCGTGTGTGGTAACTGCAATCATTGTTGCTTTTGTTGTGGTCATCCGTTTACAGTGCTTGGTGTCAGTCTATTTATCTCTTGTAAAAATAAAATACATTGTGTGTGTGTGTGTGTGTGTGTGAAAAAAAAGGTACAAAGTTTCAGTTATACAGGATAAGTTCTGGAGATCTAACGTACAGCATGGTGCCTGGAGCTAACAGTATGTATTGTATATATAAAATTGGCTACAGGGTAGATCTTATATTAAGTGTTCTTATCCCACACACAATAATAATGATAAAGGGGTGCGAGGGAACTTTGGGAGGTGATGGAAATGTTAACGGCCTTGATGATAGTGATGGTTTCATGGTCATGTATTTATCCCCAAACTCATAGAGTTGTATACATCCCATACGTATGATGTTTCAAATGTCAGTCAGAACTCAACAAAGTAGTTTTAAAAAGTAAAAAAAAAAAAAAAAAAAAGATCCTCCAGGGCTTGGCATGGTGGTTTGCACATGGGGATCAATGATTGTTCGTTGACCAGAAGTTGATCACCATTGCCGGGAATTAGAGGGCAGCATGGGGAGTAGGTGGCTATGGCTGTACAAGGGAGCAACAGTGATGGAGCCGTTCTGAGCCTTGACCGTGGAGGTGATCGCATGAGTCTACACGTAAGATAAAATTGCATAGGACTAAACAGAGTTGACCCTTGAACAACACGGGTTTGAACCGCACAGGTCCACATATGTGCAGATGTTTTAAAATAGTAAATACCATAGAACCGCATGATCCGTAGTTGGTTGAATCTGCAGAGGTGAAATCTCAGGTAGGGAAGAGCCACGGATACAGAGGCCAACTGTAAGTTACACATGGATTTTCGACTGTGCAGAGGGCTGGTGCCCCGACCTCTGCGTTGTTCAAGGGTCAAGTGTATATACGTGTACACACACAAATGAGTGTGTGTGAAACTGGTGAAATCTGAATAAGGTCTCAGGATTGTGCCAATATCAGTTTCCTGGTGTGATACAAGATGTTTCCACTGGGGGAAGCAGATACGAGATCTCTCTGTCTGATTTCTTAACACTTCACGTGAAACTACAATTATCTCAAAATTAAAAGTAAAAAATACATGTGTACATACATACACGTACATATATACATAGACGTGTATATATATATATATATATATATTAATCCCAGTGTTTTGACCACAAGTTTAGTTTTCCTGGATTCAGTTAAGTGTAATTGACAGAAATAAGATTTCATGTAGCGCAGCACTCTTAACCTTTTGTTGACCGTGATTTTAAAACACTTAGATTTAAATTATATCTGTTTCTTTAAGCGGGCTGTTGACAGGCAAGCAGAAGAATTTATGTCTAATTTGTTTTAAAAGTAAAATAACTCTGTCTCTCTTAATAGGAATGCAAATTTATCAGGAAAATATTGGTAAATAGTAGAAATGATTAGAAAAGAAAACAGTACAATTTTCCGTCAAACGGTATCAGTTGTAGACAGTTTGGTACCCTTCCTTACAGTATTTCTGCCATTACCGTGTTTCATATATGTTCTACATGATTGTAATTAATTATATATATATATAATTTTGAGCATTCCTCCCTGCAAAACGTACTGTGAAAAGCAGAGTCCTTTATTTTTTTTCCATCTTAGGAACTTACTGCATGACCATACTGTAATTTAACTATTCTCCACCTGTTGGCAAAAACTTTTAATTTGAAGGTCTACATTTTTTTTAATTAAAAAGCAAACTTGAAATAAAGCTTCTAATTCTTTATTTTTTCCTCTTACAGACTTTAAAAAAAAATCTCTTGGTGTTTGATCTGACCTATGGTTTTTTTTAGTCCCAAACCCATGAGGAGCCACAAAGTTGTTCATTGTACAGAAATAGGCAGCCAGGCTGGCAAGTGTACAATGAAAGTACTTCATCAAGGAGGGGCCTAAGCTAGACGGGCCAACCGGGCAGGTCTAGTGAGAGTTAGAAGATCCCCAGAACAAGGTGTTTTTCCTCCTTTGCTGGCCCAGGGCTACACCTCTGCCAGCGGCTTGACTGACTTTTCTGGTGTTCAGGTGTAGGGTCGTGGCTCCCAGGAGAAAGTGCTCTGCCAGGAGCCCTCATGGTGCAGGAAGAGAGCTCTGCTTTCTGGCCAGGGTGTGGTCCTGACCATTCTATTGGTGCTTTTAGGCCATGGACTCATGTCCTCGTGGGCTTTGAAGCCTTTGAGCCTGTGCGTCTGGTACCCTGTGACCCAGGTACCATCCCCTCCAGGTCCAGTGAACAGTGTGAAAGGTGGGGCTGTGTCGTGGTCGGCAGGCTCCTCTGTGCTTTGGGGCACCAAACTTTAAAGTCCACCCACATTAGAGTGACAGTTCCAGCTCTTTGGAATTGAAGATGAGCTGCCCTTGTCTCGAAATGTCTCCTTTCTCCTGATATCCGTCAAGGGCAAGATCAGTAGTACAGGGAAGAAGCTAGCAGCAGCTTCCTCTGCATGCAGGAGGGGATGGTGAAATATAAGCCATGCGTTTAAATGGGGCGGAGAGATGCAATGATAGACAGATTGATTAACCGAGAAATAATTAGGCTGGTAAAACCTGTCATGCAGCTTGCTGGAAAGACAAAGGAGCAACCGTATGGGCTGCTAGACCCACTCTTCAGCTTGCAAAAGACTTTTTTCTTGTTTTGTTTTTTTTGCAGTACACGGGCCTCTCACTGCTGTGGCCTCTCCCGCTGCGGAGCACAGGCTCAGCGGCCATGGCTCACGGGCCCAGCCGCTCCGTGGCACGTGGGATCCTCCCGGACCGGGGCACGAACCCGCCTCCCCTGCATCGGCAGGCGGACTCTCAACCACTGCGCCACCAGGGAAGCCCTGCAGAAGGCTTTTGATTGTCTCTATCTTATAACTGGGGTGCTGTGTGCGTTATTAAATTGACCCAAGGAAGTGTGGGCCTTGTCTGGGCCACCTGAATTCAGTCAGGCTGTCATTCAGAGCAGCCCCAAGGAGAGGGAGGAAAAAGCAACAGAGGTGGGGAAAGCCATATTTGGAATTAGAGATGCACCAGGCGATATTAGATCCATGTTCTTTAGTTGGGAGATGGAATTTCTGATCTGAACTCTCAGAGATGCTGCTCAAAGGCCCAGTTGGTTTGGGCTCATGAGCAAGGGCAAGCACTGATGGCGTTCAG